GCAAAGCATCATATTCTCTGATCCAAAGTTCTCTTGTGTATAGGAACAATACAAGCAAAGCACCCTTCCTGCCACTTCACAAATCTTGATTCTGTAATTCAGAAGCATTAACAGATTTGCTATGCCCCTCTTTGCCTCAAATAGGAATGGAGGCAGGCAAAAGGAACATCAGAGCCTGAAGCTTCAGGGCCAGTGGAGCACATTGTGGCAGTCAAGCCTGGAGGTTGAGTGTTAGAGGATCCTCTCTGTCAGAAAGGCATGGAGCCCATGCAATAGATGTAGCCAATAAAAGTGTAGCTGCTCCTTCCAATGCTGTTAGTCTCTGAATTACCAGCTTCTGGGGAACAACAGAGGGAGTGGGACTATTGTGTGCAGGCCCTCTCTGATGGCATCTCAGTGACAACTGGTTTGCTCCTGTGTAATAAAAGGTGGTGAACCAGATAGGCCCCTTTTGATTCAACCTACCATGGCTCTTCTTTTGTACTTTAAGCAAATTTAGCCAATGTAGCAAGATGCCTATGCAAAAGCAGAGCTGGTTCACACCTCTCTCCTGATGGGGAATTCACAGCCCCATCAAATAGGGGCAATCCCACTCCCTCAAAATGGGATCCCACAAACATTACTGTGCCTGGATTAAGCTTAAATTTACTACGCTCGTCTCAGAAGAGCACTCCAGCCACCAAGGACCCACAACCTGAGGCTGCACTTGGTGGAAGATGACTGGCCCAACCCACTGGATCCACATAAGGCAAGTCCAGCTTTGCCCTGATCTCCCTTTCTCAATATTAATTAATTAGGCTTTGACCTGCCACCAACCTTCCCAAGAAAGGTTGTGCACGCCTTGTTAGATGCTGTTTCCTACTATTGCTTGCTTAAACAACATCTACATGCACTCCATTTCCACAGGGATGATATATACTGCTTCCCTGCCTATACCTTGACTTGTAATCCAACACGCTCTTTAAAAAGAAAAAAGATTATTCTCTATATGAATGCTACTTTCAGAAACTGGAATGTTTAGAACTGGATGCGTTCATCACACTAATGGCACTTCAATCCCAAAGTACAGATAATCTCTCTCAGCAGCTTCATTGAGAAGTTCAACAGAATGAGTGCTACAGAAAATCCTAGCAGAACACCACAGGAGCAGGGTCAGCATCCCCCATTACCCATCCTGCGTCCATCCAGACAAGGAGGAACGGAGCCAAAGGAGAGTCATCCTCCAAACTCCAAGCAAGATCTGGAGGTGCTGTGAAAGAATGGTATGATCCACATTATCAAAAGCCACTGGGAGGTTTTAGAAGATCAACATTGTCTGTATTATGGCTGTCAAGCTCAAGACCAGACTTTGCCAAACTTCTGCCTTTCAGATGTTGGGAACTGCACTCCCACCAGCCTCAGCCACATGCAAGACGAAGGTAACCTACCAGGACTATCATGTCTCCTGTTTTAGGGTCTGGGGAGGATGCAGATGACACACCAGTTGACTTTCTTGAGGGGGAACCCTCAGCACCCCTTCTATACTCTCCCGTTTGAACACATGGCTCTTCCATCATCCTCACCATGACTCTACAGCAGTGGTTCTCAACCTGTGGGTCCCCAGATGTTGTTGGAACTACAACTTCCATCATCCCTGACCACTGATCATGCTGGCTAGGAATGATGGGAGTTGTAGTCCAACAACATCTCGGGACCCACAGGTTGAGAAACACTGCTCTACAGCTTTCTCCAGTTTCTCCGGCTCCCCAGCCATGCAGGAGCATACACTTGAAGAATCATGGGCCTTTGCTTACACTGGCGGAGGAGGGCGGGTCATGGGAAGAGAAGGCCCCGCCTACCTTTAGATGACTGCTGAGGCAAGCCGCCTGGTCTCACTGGGAGCTGTCCAAGGTTGTGAACCACCTTGTCTTGGAAGAAGCTCCAGAAATCAGTAATTCCTGCAGGCCCCAAGCCTCAGCAAAACAGGGCAAAGACAACAAATTCTGTCTCTGTTGCACACTTACAAGCCAGACTCAAGTGGGACAAGATAAGAAATGCCAATATTTTGAGATTTCAACAAGGACTAGAACCTCCGGCCACTTTTTATATAATTTGGCATTATGTAAAATGCATATATAGAGGAACCATCATTTTCAAGACAAACCTAGTCACCAGCCTAGTAAATCTGGAACTAGACTTGATAATCTGGTAACACTGATAATCTTTATTTGGTTATTTTAACCCAGTGTGCTACATGCCTACTTTATAGGTTTTTTTTTTCATCTTCTAATTTTTATCTGTTGTCATATTCTCTTTTTTATATACACTATTTAATGAAATAATAATAGAAATAATAAAAAGAGAGAGAGAGAAGAAATGAATGGTTCTGCTGCCACAGGTCTAAAAGCTGGCCAAGCCCCCTTAACTGATAGAGTTGGTTTTTTGAGACAAGAACAAATCACTCCTTCCTTATGAGAATGCAGGACACGGACACAGACGCACACTTTGTTTGCTTTGACCTGTAGCACTAGAGGCTGCCTATTGCTGTCTTTCACCAACCACAAGGGACAGAAATCTACACTACATGTTGCAGCCTACACAGCACCAAGCAACCAGTCAATGTCACTGAGGGGAGCCAGAGTGTTGCAACCCAAGCAACAGGGACCTGCCAGCATTTCTAAGCCCTCTGCAGCATCACAGCTGGAGCTGAGCCAAGTGGTTTCATTTTATCAGCAAAAAAGCCAAGTAAAAAAGGTCACAGTGGAGCTAATGATGTTTCACCTTCTTGGGACACAAATTCAGAGGTTGAAATGCCCCTTGGCACCAGGAAGAGATCTGCTGGACATGATGCAGCTGATTCGATGGGGTGGAGAAAAAAGTACTTCCTCGCTGACATCACCAGCAGCAGCATCTCAAAGGCCTTGCAAGAGGGCTCTGGGGCACACTTGACCAAATCCAGTCCAAGTCTTCCACCACTATTTCATGAGCTGCAGGCAAACTGCTTATGGCCAGTTTGGTCACCCCTGTAAAAGTGTAGGAGAGTGACAACAGAGCAATGGGTTCGAACAGTCCAGGAGGTACAAAACTTATTTTAAAAACCAAAAAACAAGAATCTTGAGTCCACCCATTAGCTCCTATTTTAAAACTTGCTAAGGTGCTTCCAAGCAATAAGAACTGTAAAATGCTTTCTGTAGAAATCTTTTCACTAACCTATATTTACATGGCTTTAAAATACTAACAGAGATGTGGGTGGCGCTGTGGGTTAAACCACAGAGCCTAGGACTTGCCTATCAGAAGGTCAGTGGTTTGAATCCCCGTGACGGGGTGAGCTCCCGTTGCTCGGTCCCTGCTCCTGCCAACCTAGCAGTTCGAAAGCACATCAAAAGTGCAAGTAGATAAATAGGTACCACTCTGGCAGGAAGGTAAACGGTGTTTCCGTGCGCTGCTCTGGTTCGCCAGAAGCGACTTAGTCATGCTGACCACATGACCCGGAAGCTGTACGCCAGCTCCCTCGGCCAATAAAGCGAGATGAGCACCAGAACCCCAGAGTCGGCCACGATTGGACCTAATGGTCAGGGGTCCCTTGACCTTTTTAAAATACTAATGGCATGTAATTTTTAAACCCCATTTCACATGCCCTGCCTTTTTTAAAAAAAAATACATGACTTGGGGAGTGGTAAATCCCTGCTCTGACTCTTCCATCCTAACCCAGATCAATGCAATATGAGTTGTGAAGCTTGCTTAGCACAGGTCTAGCTCTCTTGAAGGTGTCGGCTGCAAAGGAATTGTCTCCAGTGACTTTGCACCTCCTTTACAGAAAGGGTTGCACATTTGGAAGCAGAGGACTTGATGACAATTGGTGGTGTGTAACCATAGCAATCTTCTGACACCAACCAATGTTCCCCAACCAATGCCCTCCAGATGGCTTTGACCGCCCCCGCCAGAAAATCTTGGGAATGGTAGTTCACCCCTTGTCAAGCTACAGTTCCCAGCACCCTTAAGAAACTGAAGTTCCCAGGATCTTTATGGGGAGAAACAATGTGCTTTGGACATATGGTGAGTAGGCAGCCTCAGCCTATAAGGAGCTCCGAGTGCGGAGGTTGAGTTGTGCTTTGAAGCAGGTCTCTGCTCCAAAACCAATTCTCAGCGCGAGGGCTTACCCTGATCACATGTGAAATAATAAAACCACACCTCTGAGCATGTGCAGAGTGTGCACCCACCTCATCAACAGGTATGACAGCGTTCAAGGGCCATAGCTCAATGGTTAGAGCATCCTCTTTACATTCAGAAGGTCCCAGGTTCAGTTCCCAGCATCTCCAGGAGAGAACCCCGGTCAAATCCTGCCAGTTGGATGCACAATGTGAAACTTCATGCACCCACGGCCTGACTCAGAATAAGGCAGCTTGATTTCTATGACCACAACTCCAACTTGTCCCAGCCAGCAGGGTCTGCTAGGAGTTGTAGTAAAAAAACATCTGGAGAGTCATAGGTTGGAGAATGCAGAGTATGCCATGGACCAAACCTGGACCCCAGCCAGGGCATCTGCCGCTGTACCACTGAGTCACAGCCCTCCCATGGGAAATTATGGAGGCTGCCTTGAGCAGAGGCTCCCTCCAGGGCTGCCTGCAAACCCTTTTAACCCTTTCACACCCTCACAGTTTGCCAAGTAAGGTGGGGGAAGGGAATGCCACTCTCAGGGTCCCCCCCCAAAATGCCAGCGTTAGCTACTTAGGAAGTGAGGTACAGGGGGAGGCATTAGGGAGCACCCCCCTTGCCAAATTACCCCACCCTGACACTCTGGAGCTAGGGAGAGGGCGTTGGATCTGCAGCCCCTGCTGCCTCCTCGTCTCCCCTGGGGGGGTGGGAGTGTCCACCGCAGCTCTGCCAGCCTGGCTCCCCAGCGCAGCTGCATCAAATCCAGAAGAGGCACGGTGGGGGGGTGGGAGCCTCCGAAGCTGGAGCAACCGCCCCCACCCCACGACCTCCGAGAGCCTGCAGGGAACAGAGGGGCGTCGGATTACCTGTCAGCAATTCTATCTTATGTCCCCAGACCTTCATAGTGGCGGCGGCGGCGGCGGCGAGAGAGCGAGCGCTTGCGAGGCAGGCGGCGAGAGACAAAGGCGGCTCCCGAGCTAGCCAGCCTGCTCACTGCGGCTGGGCAGGCTGCGAGCAAGCGGGCATCGCTCCAGCGGGGAAGGCGAGGAAGAGGGCGGGGGAGGGAAGGAAGGATGGAAGGATGGATGAATGGATGGGGGGAGCTGCCAAGCCCGTCGGTTAGCCGAGCAACGTCAGCGGGGGGGGGGGGTTTGAAGAGAACCGTGGGCGGGGGGGGACAACCCCCCCCGCATTCCCGTTGCCAAGTCGTGCTGCGGGAGGCGGCGGCATCCTCGACACCCCACCCCGCCGTCGGTCAAGCCCCATCTGGGTCTCCAAGACGCTGGGGAGGCGGGTCTACTTACAGCCCAGAGCAGCTGGTCCCCTCCCTCGGTGCCGAGCCAGGCCGGGGTCTCCTCCGTCTGCTACGGAGGGGCCGTCCCGGCGCGGCCTCCCGCGTTGCAGGCGCCTGGGAGCGGGGCGTCGGTGGCTGGCAGGAGGACAGAGCCGCGGCTGCGCTCGGACGGGAGGCCGCCCGGTTTAAATGGGGGAGGAGGCGCCGCCGCTGCGTCAGGAGGGGGAGGGTGAGAGCCAGGCGGGCGGGCGGGGGAGGGTCTCGCGGCCTCGGCCTGCAGCCCGCCTTCCCGCTCTCCCTCGCAGCGGCGGCGGTTGCTAGGGACGCGCCGTCGGGGCTCCCCCCCTCCCCCAGCGACAGAGGGAGCTGCCTTCCCCCGAGTCCGCGGCTCGTCTAGCTCAACATTGTCTACCCTGACTGGCAGCAAGGGCTCTCTCCCAGCCCTCTCCAGAGATGCCGTCGGGGATTGAGCCTCCTGAGAGCAAGGCTGGCGCTCTGCCGCTGAGCCTGGCTGGGTGCTTGGACCTTCGACGGACAGAGGCGCTTGGGAAGGCAAGCCAGTCCGAGCGCGCCCAGGCACTCCTTGCCTCTCTCCGAGCTGTAGAAGCAGCCGTCGGGGGAGTTATCTTTCCGGTCCGGAGTGCCGCCCCCGGGAAAGAGCTAGCAAGGCGGCCTGAGAAACCGGGTTCCCGGGCTTGGCCCGGGCAGGAATCGTCAGCTGCAGGCCGAACGCCCGCAACAATGATTCCCAGCCCGTCCCCAGACCCTCTTCCCCCCACGACGTGTCTGGCCCTGTCGACGCAGTGCTAGGCCCCACTGCAAGGCCGGGTGGGGGGCACAAGGTCTGCCGCCAAGAGGTGTCCTGGCTAAGAAGGCTTGGTCCCCTGAAGTTCACCCCTCACCCCGGATTGGGTGAAAGGCCTTTTTGCCTTCCCATCTTTCACCTTTGGGGTCCATTTTCCCAGAAATGCAAGTGCCCACGTTTGCTTTTACCAAAGTTGTCTCCTATATCTTCCCAGTCGTGTTAAGCCTGCTACTGATAGTCTGATAGTTCTTATTTGCAACCTTTTGACCTACCTCATCAAATATGGATAATGATGACATACTGGGATCTGAGTCTAGTATCTGAGGCACGATAAGTTTCATTTCCTATTTCTCCACCTCCCACTCCCAGAATTCCTGTATCTTCTCACATGATCACCACTTATGGAAAAACAGTAGGGACCTGACTCTTCACAGCCACTCCAGCATAGTGGACTATTAGCACTTGAAATTCTAACAAGAGTGAGATGAAGCAAGGTACTGAGTTCTCTCTCATCCAGGATGATGCTGACCAGAACAGAAATGGGTCACAGATTTGCTTCCACTTTGATAAGCTCAATTTTGAAGTCCTGCTCCCACAGCTTCCTTGGGGAGTGTCTAATACCCCTGTGGCAACTCGCAATAAAATCTTTAAAACTTCCAAAAAAAAAAAAAAAAAGAATACAACAGTTAAACCACACATATAAAAAGCATTTGGAAACTTTTAAAATACTCATAAATTACAAAAATTCATATTCAAGGGAAACTAACAGTAAGAAACCCGTGTTAACTAGAATCAGCCATATCTTATAACCCATACAAACATACTCATTGTGTGGTTTAGCAACTGCATTATTTTTTACCTTGATAAGCCCTTCATAAAGGCAATTGTGCCCAAATGTGTTGGGCATATTTAACAATGAAGCATTCCCATTGTTTGGGCGTCTTTGAGAGACATTTCTCTCCCCCCCCCCACCCCTTTTAGGTTAGAGGAAAATGCTCAGGTGGGTTGTGGCATTCAATTCTCGGCATCCCTGGATGCAGCAGATTATCTGGAATCCATTTTAATCTGGTTCCCAAATCCCATGTCACTTTTTTTTTGGACTGAAGCAGCATTGGTCTCCCTAGTGGACGACCTTCGCAAGGAGAGGGACATAGAGAGTGTGACTCTATTGATTACCCTGGACCTCTCAGTGTGGCTTTCGATACCATCGACCATTATATCCTAATGGACCAGCTGGCTGGGAGGGAACTGCGGGCACTGGAGTCCAGTGGTTTCAGTCAAACCTGACATGCTGGTTGCAGAGGGAGATGCAAGGAGGCTGGTGTTGCTGCTACTAAGGGTTATACAGAGTGTTTCCTGTGCTGTATGAAACTACTAGAGGAAGTTGTCTAGGAATTTACAGAGAGGTGCTGGTAGTAAGCTTATAGCAGTTCATTTCCCCTTTCATCAAATTTAGGTGAGGCCAGGGGTAGCCTGAAAAGGGGTCTGGAGCTAATGCATTGGGAGATGGAGACCAATAAATTGCAACTTTATACAACTTTATTAAGGCAGCCTTTGTCAACCTAGTGGCTTACAGATATTGTTGGAGTCCAACTCCTATCAGCCCCAGTGCACATGGTCAATGGTCAAGGTTGATGGGAAACGGAGTCTAGCAATATCTGAAAGGACATGGGTTCCCCTCCCCTGCCACAGAACCATAGAGTGGGAAGGGACCTTGGAGGTCACCTGAATGCAAAATCTGCAATACATGATTTGCAATTATAATATCTCTGGCAAACAGGCTGGGCTTCAAGCCTTTGCTTCAATGACTAGTAGCCATTGATGCTCCTCATCCTCTATGAATTTGTCTAATCCTCTTTTAAAGCCATTTGTGTTGGTGGCCATCACTGACTCCTTGTGGTCAGGTCTTGCAAAGCTCTATGCACCTGGGTTTGAAAGCTCAGGTGATCTGATGTTTCATCTTGCAAGACCTGGTAATCAACTGATGCCCAGGGTTTGGGTCAGCTGCAAACCTGCCAACCCTCTTTCAGCTGAGCCAGGTCCTTACCCGCCCCACCCCTGACATCATATACAACATAATGTATAGGACAGGTGGGTGTGGCTTAGCCAGATGGGGAGCCTTAGTGGGCCTCATTAACCCCTGAGGCTGGAGGTTGCCCACCACTGCTATAACTCAATAAACAGTCATGCAGTTAAAATATGGATAGCATTAGGACATCACATTGCAAGCATGTCACCTTTGGGCTAGCGTAAAGCTGAGGCTTTGAATCAAAGTTTGCACTGGAGGCTTCCTAGATTGTTACACAGGTGCTGGGCTTCTGCAAGATATCAGCTCTCTCCTCTATGAATCTGTTGGAAATCAAAATAGAAGTTAGTGCAGTGCTAGTTAAATGTCATAAAGCCTTGTGCTTTCTTCAGGCAATGTGGAAGTATGTAATAATGACTTGACTGAAAGTTATAAGGAGAGCTCAGGCAAAAAAGGAAGCACCTGTAAAAGGACATTGTGACCTGGCCATTGTGCTCTGGTATGGATTTATCCACTTTTCAGCATGCTTTTTAAAATCCCAATAAGTGGATGTTTTCCCCCACATTGCTTTTAGCTCAGCCAAGCAAAGATAAACTAATTAGGGTTATAATTACATAAGCAGTTTTATGTTGTTTCTTTCACCACATGGAGAGGTCCATGTGGTTACACGGATTGAGTAGCAGCAGGCAGCTGGACTGTCCAGCTGAGGAATGTCAGGCTTAAGGTTGGTTCATAATTGAAATGTATGGCCCAAGTGCCACATAGCGGAGATGCACCACTTGGCTGGAAGAGAAATAACGCCCCCCCCCGCAACTGCCCATGATTGAAAGATTGCCAAGCGAATGCCACTGAAATGCTTTTGGCTTCAAACTTGGGTTGTCCTGTTGGCTAATCGTCAGCACTGGCATTCCCTCTTGTGACCACAATTGGCTAAAAACCTCTGAATAGCAATGTTCCATCAATGAGCAGCTCACTAACTTTACAACACCTCGGAAGCTGTCAAAAGAAGATGCAATTGATAAAGATGAGAATTAACGTGTTGTTATTGTGGACACCCATTTGCCACTTTTGGTGAGCCAAATAGACCCTCCAAGTGGTTCACATTTAAAACCTATTTTTTTAGTGTGTCACTTTTTATTTTAAAAATATTGTTTTCTATTGTATACAGCAATGCAAACAATATAACCCCGAGAACAATAATGAAAGGGGCACCTGAAATTAAAGAGCTCAGGTTTGCTTGCCATACAATGAAGACACGGGAGAGATGAGATCACCAATGAGCCTGTCACTGAAATGTCCACGGCTGTCCATGCATATATGGTAGATGGTTCTCTTGTCTGGTTCTCTGTATGCATTGAATAAAATGAAACCAAAGAATAGGAGAAACTGTCTATTTTTGGGCATCCTTATGCTTTTTAAATCTGACTTGTGAGCTTCTCAGTCAGAGCCATGTTCCCGACATGACTATACCAAGTGCCCTCAAGGGTCTGGCACTTATGCACTATTGCCGCCACCACCAAGAGGATCACCAAATCTTTATATCCTGGTTAGTGTGGGATACAACCAACATACTTAAGTCTAATTAATGCATGAAGACCATAGAGTAAGCTGTCCCTCAGGCTTAACTATGTTCACTTCCCTCACCTTGGGAGGAAATAGGTAATCAAGGTTTTGTTCTCCTTCAATCTACCTGAGAAGCTCAGCATGTAAAGAGGTCTGCCACATGGCTTGAATAAGCCATTCTTACATTCCTATATTTTAGGAAATTTCACCACTTTGTAACAGCTAAATTTCTCTATCTGTGTAACCTATTCTGAAGCACATGAATCTGACCTTTGGAGAGTTGGTAAATAAACTTTTTTTTTAACTTATCAAATGTGTGGACTTTTCAATGCTAGAGGAGGAAGTTTTGGAACTCACAAGGTCATGTTTTAGAAGTCTAACAGCCTATATTTCTACACTTTACTTTGCTGCATATTTTGTGATTTTAAATTTCTGCTGT